AGGAGCTGTCGCTGAACACTAAGTATGGTGTAGAAAAAGAGAACATAGCTACTTTTCTTCTTCCCTATCCTTTTGGGCATTTCCCTGGTGTTCCATAACAAACATGCCTTTAATACTGGGAGAATTAATGAATCACGTATGATAAGATGGTATGTTTTCAAATGAAAATAATGGCCACTGGAAAGACAGTGGGAATTTAAAAGTGGCAGAAATAGGAGAGTATCCATTAATGCTTTGTATCATCATTGATATCATTAGATACATTCAGGTTTAAGAATTCAATTTGAGAAGCTGGCTGGGTGTTGGTGGCTCACACCCATAATCCTAGCTACTCAGGAGGCTGAGATTTGCAGATCGAGGTTGGTGAAAGGTTGTAGATGAATCTTTCTTCTTATGTCTCACATGGTAGAAGGGATGAGGCAACTCTCTAATCCATGTTCTAGTTACCTCTCCACTGACTACTGGTAAAGGTGATCTCATCTCAACATTTGACTAAGGGGTTCTTTTCCTGTTTTTGTTTTGTGCCAGGCCTGGGCTTCAACTCAGGGCCTGGGTGCTGTCCCTTAGCATTTTCACTCAAGGCTGGCACTCTACCACTTGAGCCATACCTCCACCTCTAATTCTTGGTGGTGAACTGGAGATGAGAATCTTATTGATTTTCCTGCCTGGGCTGGTTTTGAACTTTAATCCTCAGATCTCAAGCCTCCTGAGTACCTAGGATTTACAAGCATGATTGTAGGCACCCAGCCTAATTCTTGAGGCTTTCGTGCCATTTAGTTCAGTTCCCTGGTACTAGTGGATTTTAGGGAAGATGGAAAAGTCACAGCTTGAAATAAAGAGGTTGGGTGTTTCCTGGTAATTCCTCTTCTTGGCAACCTTAAATTGTCGTAGAAAGTAGCTTGGTGATGGTGGTGTGTACATGATCATCTCCAAATTTAGTGACAATCAGTCCAGAGTAACAATGATGTCCTTAATATTTCCAAGACACACAAGTGATGCACCAAACACTGTTGCTTAATACTTTCTCTCTCTCCCTCCCTCCCTCTCTTTCTCATTTTTGTCGGTTGTGAGGCTTGAACTCAGAGCCTAGGCACTGTCCCTGAGTCTCTTGGTGCTCAAGGCTAGCACTCTACCACTTGAGCCACAGTGACACTTGCAGTTTTTGAGTGGTTAATCAGAGATAAGAGTCTTACTTGAACCTTTATCCTCAGATCTCAGCTTCCTGAGTAGCTAGGATTACCGGCATGCTCCACTGGCACCCTGCTGCTTAAAACTTTCTTGGACTCCTCAACTTTTTTGAAAAAGTTGACTTCAGTATTCTAGTCTCAAACGCACAACCCATCTTTTTGTTCCTGCTTTTTACTCTCATAAATGGTACATCTGCTCTTCGATCTTCCTGAGTGTTCAGATTCCTGGACACCCTCATTTTTTCTCCTGGGCGTCCTGCCCATTCTGGATTTATTTCCTTCTTTATCGAGCTTAAACCACATGGCTTGTCACTGAAATAATGCACTGTTCTCTGTCAATCTTTGTTCTTCGCCTTTTCCACCTGCTCCTAGAGAGCCTCGACTCCGTGTCGCTCCTGTTCTGATACCAAGCATTTGCCTTATGAGAACCAGATGGAAAAAAAGTCACAGCTGTGTCATTGCTAATTTCAGCAGGGGGGGGGGGCCCTAGAGAGTTCCTTTCTTAATCCCCTGTGACTCTCTAACACATTTACCATTACCCTCCCTTCTACTCTTCTTGTTGCCGATGATGTGCTGCCACTTCATGGATCAATGCTATAGGCCTCTCAACTACCATCATCAATCTGGACATATACCCATCTTTGCTTCTCTCTCTCTCTCTCTCTCTCTCTCTCTCTCTCTGTGTGTGTGTTCCTGCACTGAGGCTTATAACTCAGGGTCTGGGTGTTGTTGCTTAGCTGTTTCACTTGAGGCTGACCAGTTAGTTCCAGCATCTATCTACCCATCTCCTAATCCCTCTTATCTGTTTATTTCCCCAAGCTTTGCTCCATCCCCTTTCACCATCCTCTCCCAGGATACTCTAACCAAGTCCAAACTGGTTTTCTTTCTTAGTCTTCTTTCCTTCTAACCTACTCTCCCCTGCCTCCCCACTCCCCCACCCCCACAAAAAACACTGTTATTCTCAAATGCAAATCTGAGACTCATCTCCTCTGTGGGAGTGGTACCTCTGCCCTATCTTCAACATCAGTTTAGAGACTAAAGCTTCTTCCCTAATTCCCCCTTCTCCTCGCCCAGTTTAGTCAAGTTAGAGGCTCCATGCTTTTCCCACACTCCTTATCTATTCTTTCACGCAACTGTCTTCACACTTCTTTGTTGTAATTGTTGATTTCTTCTGCTAGTTCAGGCTCATCATTTTGTGTTCCCTTAGCACAGGGCAGGACCTGAGATGATGTAACTGTTTTACAAATCTTAAGTAGGATGAATCCATAATTTCATTTTTCCAATATCCAACACAGCACTTGGTTTCTTAAAAAATATATAAAAAAGCAACAACAAAAACCAGATCCTTAATAATATTCGTTGAATTAGGTAGACTGTTCTTGGACTAAAGAGATGTGACCAGCTAACCCATGTGTAATGAACAAAATTAATATTGTGTAGGTTTTGTCCTTAAGGAGCACACGTCCTTTTTAATTAGGATTAATCAGAGATGGTTCCCCTAAAACAGGTGGTGTTGGGGGGGGGGGGAGAGGGAGAGAGAGAGAGAGAGAGGCCACTCATTGGAATGTAAAGGGCAAAGGCAGAAAACATCTATGTCTGTATTTAGAAGATACAGGTGACTCCTAGCTAAGATCTGCTGTAATTAGAAGTATTTTATCCTGGGATCTACTAGTCAGACAGTTGAGGAGGAGGGGATAGGGGTGAATTTTCAATCTCTGCCTTGGATACTGGGATTGATCCAGGAAATCTGCTGTAAGAATCTCATTACTGACAGCAATTAAAGACCAAATGCTATTGCCTCTCTACTGCTAAAAACAAACAAAAGTCACTTTGCTTTAAAGAACAAAATTCTATCTTTTCTATCCATCGGCCTTTTTTCCCTCATTTATTTGCTTTTAAATATTAAAATATACTTTGAATAAGTTTTACAAGACTATTTGGTGTGGTTATTTTTGGCCTGTACTGTGATAACGTACACTAGCATACAATAGCCACTCTGTTTTCTTGGCTCTGAAGTTTCTTTGTGCACCATTTCTTGAACACGAGCCTCGTTTTCTGACTTTACTTGGATGAAAAAAAAGTGTTATTTTCAGCGATGGTTTAATATCTCTTTGTCAATGAATAGTTTAGATTTATAAAAAAAAATATGTTGCTTAACAGGACAGTTGTGGAATGGGGTTAGTTGTTGAAAATCTTCTTCTGGAGAATGAAAATGATGAATGAGATGTCTTAAAAAAATCTTTTTCTCAGCTATGCCTTACTAAACAAAGGGGAGGTTAGTCACTCCAAATGATGGCTTTTCTTTAAAAGGAAATGCCAATCATTGAAGAAGTCAAGGATCTCAGTTTATGTATACCTGGGTTCTTCTTGAATTGATTAGAATCTGTAACTTCTTATCTAGGACTCCATCTATATTAATGGCTTATTTTAGTGACTTTTATGAAAATTCTGGCTTCATCGAAGGTCAGAAACATATGACTTAGTCACTGTTTAACAGAAAGTGCTTCGAACGAACGGTTCACTATGAACCTTTCAATATACACAGTAGGCTGATAAATTAATGAGATAGGAAAATCAGTCTGTGATTTCATTAGCTAAAATTCATTCATGTGTCTTTCCAAACTTGGGGGGTTAAATGGAGTTTCCTGTGAGAAGTCACAGTACACACTCTATAGTTTTAACATGATGAAAAAATTTCAACCTTAGATAGTCAGAAATTAACATTTGGCAAGTAATTTATAGTTTGCAAAGAGATTTTTCTCATTAATTATCTCTGAAAACTGAATAACGATGCGATTATTAAAGGTTAATTAAGCAAATACTTGTGAAGTAATTGGGAGGTAATCTATTTCTAATTTAACAGGTCAATCAGGGGGTATTTAGGAAATATTTTTTTCTGGTTAATAACTCTAACCAAAACAAAAAGATATTTAAATGTGTTCCCTAGTGGAAAAATAATAAGGGTCTATTTGCTTTTTTCTTTTTTTAAAATCAATTGTTTCAAAGAATTGGGACCAGGGTTCCTAATTTCACTGGTAATTTAAGAGCATTCATGAGGTTTCTGAGTTTTTCCCCTCACAGGTTTAAACCCCGTCTTATAGTGCTTTATTTTGGCCATTTGGAATAGAATAAAATATTTGAAGAAAGTAACCGGAGAAGGCATGGGGGGTGGGCGGGAATGCTGTTAGAAAAATAGCCATTTTCTCGGGGAAGGCAGGCATGCGTCTATCTGGGTTACTGAGTGTACAGGAGTCCAACTCGAGGCCACCACCACCACCACGACCTTTCCAGCCATACAAAGACGTGTTCTTTGCAAATTTTCCATGGGCGCAGTTTTATAACCGAGCCCGCATTCTCGTCCGCAGTGGAACTAACTACAAACTGCTTTCTATCTCGCTTTGGGGCAGGCTGGGTGCAGTCTCCCCTTAACCAGACAGCCCCGAGCCAAAGTTGGCACAGATTTCCTAGGTGACAAAAATGCACAGTGCCCCCCCCCCCACCAGTGACAGACAGGTCCTCATGGGGGACCTGGGCCTGGGAAGGGGGGGATCCCCACGACCGCCCCCAAAGATGGCACACCAGACCTCTGCCTGGGCCCCCCACCCCGCGATGAGGGCGGTGTCTGGGGAAGGTGGATGGGTGGGCCTGGGGGATGTGGGGTGCCCGGAGGGGTAGATAGGGGGGGGATGAGGGGGATGGGTGGTACGGATGGGGTGGGGGGATGAGCAGTGTCCGGGAAGGGGGAGAGGCCTGGGGGGGGCAGGCAGTGCCCGGAGAGGGGCAGTGGGGGCAGTGGAGGGGGGGAATCGGCGCCTAGGGGGGTAGATGGGGGACGGGGCGGGCAGTGTCGGGGTGGATGAGGGGTGTGTGGTGCCGAGTGGGGGGTAAGATGAGGGGCGTGGGCATGCCCACGGTGGGCGAGCAGCGCCGGGAAGGGGGCAGCGCCGGGGGGAGGAGGGGTGGATGGGGACTCGGGGGCGGGGGAGGGGACAGCGCTCGGGGGACGACGCCCTGGAGGGGACTTCGGAAAAGGGGGGGAGTGATATACGGGGGAATGTGAGAGGGACTTGGGGGGCACGGCGCTCGTGTGGGGGGATCGGGCGCTCGGGTGGGGGGTCGGGGCGTGGGGGGCGCGGCACCGGATGGGGGATCGGGGCGCTCGGGTGGGGGATCGGGGCGCAGGGTGGGGGATCGGGGCGCTCGGGTGGGGGATCGGGGCGCAGGGTGGGGGATCGGGGCGTGGGGGGCGCGGCGCCGGGTGGGGGATCGGGGCGCTCGGGTGGGGGATCGGGGCGCAGGGTGGGGGATCGGGGCGCAGGGTGGGGGATCGGGGCGCAGGGTGGGGGATCGGGGCGCAGGGTGGGGGATCGGGGCGCTCGGGTGGGGGATCGGGGCGCAGGGTGGGGGATCGGGGCGCTCGGGTGGGGGGTCGGGGCGTGGGGGGCGCGGCGCCGGGTGGGGGATCGGAGCGTGGGGATCGGGGCGCTCGGGTGGGGGGTCGGGGCGTGGGGGGCGCGGCGCCGGGTGGGGAAATTGCAGTCCCGGCGGCCCGGCCGGGGAGCGGGAGCCGCGCCAGGCCTCACCAGGCCGGGCGGGCTCGCTATTGTGTTTGGCGAGCGCCGACCCCGCGCCCCGGGCTTCCTTCCCGGAGGCCATTCGGCTTCCTCCCGGGCCCTATATAGTCTCTAGTCCCGGGCTGCGCACCCGCCGCGGCGCTCCCGCCTCGCCGATCGAAGTCTGGCCTCGGAGTGTCGGGGGGATCCCCAAACCCTGAAATCTCTGCCCCCGGGGGGAGGTGAGATTCCCCGCAGTCCCCGCTCCGGGGGCCGCGGGCTGGAGGCGGGGCGGAGCGCTCGCTTCTCCGGGGTTTCCCTGACGCCAGCGGCGGCGGCTGCAGCTCCCGGCGCGCGCGCCCCGCGCCCGTCCGCGGCTCCGGGCGGGAGGGGGAGGGGAGCGAGTCCGAGCCGATCTCCCGCGGATCGCGAGGCGGCGGCCGGGATTGGAGCGGCGCACGCGCACGCGCGCGCACGCCAGGGCGGGAGGGGGAGAAAGGGCCGCGAGGAGGGGGGGGGGAGGGTGTGTGTGTGTGTGTGTGTGTGTGCCCGGCGTGTGAGGCGCGCGCGCGTGCGCGGTGGGTGCGCGCCGGCCCCGCCCCCGCCCGGCCGCCCGTCTCCGCCCCCCTCGCGCCGCTGTGTGCTGTGTGGAGCCGGGAGTCGGCGGCGGGTGGCGGCGCCTGGAACCCGGAGACCGAGCCGCTCCCCGCCATCGCCCGCCCGCCTCCCGTCCTTCCACCGGCATCCCGTTCCGGAATGTCCTGACGCCCCTCTCTGCTCTTCTCCCGCCTCCCCCTGCAGGAGGGTGGCGCCCCCGAGTCTCGGGGTCTCGTCGGAAAGGGGGGCCTCGCGGGCCGGGCCGGGCGCCGCCTGAGGGGAGCCGGGCCCGCGGCGAGGGACCGGCGGAGGCGCGCGGCGGGGACGGGGCGGGCGCTGCCAGGCGCCGCGGCCGCCGCTCCCGGGCACGAGAGAGATGGCGGCGGAGCGCGGCGCCCGGCGCCCCGGCGGCCCCTCCGCGGCGTCCTGGCTCTGCTGCGTGCTGTGGCTGCTGCTCGGGCGCCCGGCCGCGGCCGCCAGGAGCGGCTCCCCGGGGCCGGCGGCAGGTAAGCGACGGGAGGAGGCGGGAGGGAAGCGGGGGAGGCCCGCGGGTCGGGGGCGCCCGGAGCCGGGGCGCAGCGGCGGGATGGGGGGGGGGGATCCCGGAGGAATCCCACCCACAAAACGTGCGGGAACTTCTCCGCCTCGGCTCCCGCGGCCGAGGGTGTGCGTGTGCGTGTGCGTGTGTTGGGGGGGGTGAGTGCTGCGGGCGGGAGGGCCGGGGAGCGCGCGGGGCCTGGGGCTGGGAGAAGGGGGATCGGGGGAGGGTAGAGGGGGGGCTCCGGGGTCCCCGGGGTCGGCTTTGTACCCGGAGGCAGGTTCACCCCCTCTCCGCGCTCCCCGCCCCCCCCCCCTCCAGGCTCATCCCACTTGTAAGAGTGGGACATTCTTGTGCTCGCGCAGGCACCAGCAGAGGCCACCACTACACACCTCATTAAATCCACAGCCGCCCCGGCCAGCGCGCATTCACGGTCAGGAAAGGGAGGGAGGTGGGGGAGAGGAGGGGGCTTGCACTCCCTGCCTCCCTCCCTCCCTCTCTCTCTCCCTCCCCCCCCTCGCCCTCCTCACCCCCACCCCGTGTCCAACCCCGAGGGGTTCCCAGCTTCTTAAAGTCCCCCAGAAAAGCGCGCTTTAACTCCATCTCAGCGTCTCGTCGTGCACCGATTGCTGCCCGAGCCTGCGGGAGTGGGAAGAAGGGGGTGGGGAGGTGGCCTAGGAAGGGGCAGGGGGAAGGGGAAGGACACGGGGGTCCCTAAGCCCCAAAGGACGCCTTGGGAGCTGGGGGAAGGAGGGGCCGGATCGTGGGTCCCAGGGATGATTCAGTGTGTGTATGTGTGTTTCCGTTATGAAATGCCTCCTCTTTTGGGGGGATTACAAACTGTGTTTACAGCCAGTTAACCAGCCTTGACCTAAGGAATTAATTCATTGACCAAGCGTCCCAGATTTTTTTTTTCTCCTGTTTGTGTATTATTTCCGAGTGACACTATAAAACAAATGGGATCTCAAAAGCCACTTTCGCTCTTTTTTTTTTTTTTTTTCATTTCATAGGCTTCTGAAATCACTCGTGTTACTCGTTTGTTTAGAGGGGCCCAGTGAACAAACCAACAAAACGGTGCAAGCATTTGAAGGGCAAATTAGCGTGTACTTTGTCAACTTTGTTTGACCAAGGTGGTGTGCCATAAAACTTGAGGAAACTTTCACTTACTTTCATGATGTAAATTTTTTTTTTTTTATGTTCTGAAAGTCATCCGATTAGGACACAGTGGCAGCTTGTTATTGCTAAACCAGCCATTGTTTCCTCTTGGTTAATATGAAATTCTATTTAAAAAAATCACCTTGCAATGTCACTTTGGATGATGAGATTTTGATTTTCTTTTTGAAAGGTCTGTGTGTGTGTGTGTGTGTGTGTGTCAGTGTGTCTGTATCTGTGTCTGCCACATGTTGAGGACAGCTTTAAACCTGGAGTCCCAATGTGTTATATACAGCTAGGTAAAGTCAAATTAGCATCACTTAAAAGATCAACGAGTTCAACGTGTAGGACACACCTTCCCAACCTGAAAATGAAACTTGGGTCATCTGTCTTGGAAAACAAGTTTCTCTTCCTCTTGGCTAATATTATGTGTAAATGTATAAATACAATCACATGTGTGTTTGATATAGCGTGTAGAGTTTTTTTGTTTAAAGGTTTTTCAGTAATTTTGTAAGTTAAGTGTTAGCAGTCTTATTAGGATAATGAAATAATGTAAGCAGTCTCTTAGGCTGCTATCTTAACATCTGTTTCAACATGAACTCAATCGATTTGTTTTATTTTGCACTGAGGAGTTAGTTGCAAGCCCTGTGCTCTCTGCCTTCATGAAGTCTGGTGTGTAGGTAGGAAAAATAGCCATTTAAGTAATTATATAATTAAGGACGTGTGATAAGCGCTACAAAGGAAAAGAGGCTTTGAGAAAGTGTCTGCTGGAGTGACTTACCTGGGTTGTCCAGGTGTTTGAGAAGTGAGATCTGAGGGCTGATGCGGTGAAGGTTGGGAGGCTCACAGCTCATTAATTAGTGGTGTGGTCTAGCACACAGGACAGTTAACTCCTCTGCCTCATTACCAAACGGAAAGGTAGGACCGCAGTAAGTTTAGGTTGCTCAGTTTCTGTTGGAAGGAATGGAAGAGCTCACAGGCATGGAGAACTCATTAAATAGTATCTGGAATAGGCTCTCAGTAAATCACGTCATTGGTCAGTAGTCTTGTTATTTATTTATTTATGTAGAGAGAGACTCAGAAGTCTTTTTGTATGTGTTCGGAGAGTGGAGATATCAGTAATATAAGGTGGAAGAAAGTAGACTCGAGGGACCACAGGCTAGATGAATGTTTCTAGCTTAGGCTAGACATGGGATGGTAGAGTAAAAAAGGGCCAGTGAAGATTGGAAAGTGGTCAGCAGTAGTGGCTCAGAAATGAGTTGGCATACAGTGAGGCTGTGGGAATGGAGGGAGTAAGGAGGAGCAGATATCTGGTAAGATTTCTAGGGAGATGACTTCACAGAGCTCCCTGATCATTGTAAGTCATTTTGGTTTGAGGCGGACATTCCTCACTGAACACTCCCTCGCTGTTTACTTGATGATGTAACTCGTTACCTCACGAGGCTGTCTATTCCTGTTTTGGATAACTTTTGTTTAGAGACTTTGCTTTGTGCAGAACACTCTTTTTGAACCTTTTCCTCTTCGCTTGCTGTTACCAGCATCAACCTTTCATTGATAACTTCTCCATTTGTTAGATTTTTCTTGCGCGCACTCATTGGATTTTGGTTTCTGATGTTTATCTCATTATCTCTGTTTTCATCTGCTACCTGTAAGTAAGTAAGTGCATTCTTACAGGCTCATTGCCTTCACTAGATACTTTACAGTAAGTGGGTCTGAAGGTAAACTGAGTTTTGTGTCTCTTCCCTCCAACTTCCCTTATCCCCTTTCTCCAGCAATAACAAAAACAATGACTGGCCCATGTTCATCCACTCACTCAAATTGAGATCTAGAATACCTTCTTGTTTTTTTTTTTTTTTATCGCCAAAGCCAATAGTCTTGTTGGTTTTACCTCTTGGGTGTCTCTTGAATGTTACTTTCTTATCTTTGTCCTCACCTGGACTAACAGGAGTGACTCCATATTAAATCTCTTGGCCTGTACTATTACCTCTGAAAGTCTGTCTTCCTGCTAGAATAAGTGAGCTTTGAAATAGTTACTAGCATGGTCCTCCTACTTATAAATCTCTTACCTAGTGTTCCATAGCTTGGGTGTAAGAGATGGAGAGATCCTTGAATTCTTCTTGATAAGGAAGTAGTAGTAGTTGGGAGAATGTTTTGTATTTCCTCTTTAAGGTACCATTAGAAATAACATTGACAATACAGATATTTTCCCCCTGTTAATTCTGGGGCTTGAACTCAGGGTCTGGGCTGCTGTCACTTTGCTTTTTTTACTCAGGCTGGCTCTATCTGCCACTTGAGCCACAGCTCTACTTCCAGCTTCTTGGTGACTAATTGGAGATAAGAGTCTCATAGACTTCATACCCTGGTTCACTTCAAACCATGATCTTCAGATCTCAGCCTCCCGAGTAGCTAGGATTACAATGTGAACCATCCATGGGTGCCTGGCCTTAAAAATGTCCTTAGGGAGGGGGGCTGAGGAGATTTGATAATGATACTTACTTGGTACCTGACACTTTCACTGATTGGCTAGTGCTCTATCAATTGCACTGTACCTCCAACTTCTAAGAATAGGCTTATATCAAGACCTTTAAAATTTAGTCGGTTGGTTCCTTCTATGGATAGAACTTAAGATATAATTTTGACTAGTTGCAAACTCCTGTCTTTGGGGGCTAATTATGCACAAAGCTGTGTACTTGTAGATAGATACTGAGAGGAATTGGATGTATTTTCTGTTCTAGGGAGGCATTTGGCCTGATGATGGAGATACGAGGATAATAGGTAACTTGATTTGGAAAAAGTGTCATTACGGTTCTAGGAGGAAAGCATTCTGCATGTCACTGTTGATCAAACACTGGTACTAATCTCTCCCCATCTTGAGGCCTAACTCAGTCTTATGAAGCCAGGATGCTAGAGTTCGCAGAGTTCTCAAAAAGGGAGTGGTTTCTCATTTCTTATAGGTGATTACTAGAGTGTTAGAATACATGATTCATGGATGTGCATAATGGAGCCACATGGGCTACAGCAACTACCCTATCTTCTGGAAATCCTAGGATTAGTTCCTGGTGATAGCTGGTAAAAATTACTAAGGAGTCCCGAGCAGAGTGCACTTAAAAATTATATTGCATAGAAATTGAATACAGAATGCTTGTTTTTCTGCATAGAAATTGAATACAGAATGCTTGTTTTTCTGCTGCAGAATAAGCGAGTTAAAAATCAGAACTAAAAAAAAATCAGTTAAGCTGTCATAATTTACACATTCTGAAATAGAATAATTATGCTTCATATGTAATTTTTATTGATTGTGTACATAAATATAGCAACTAAAGTTTGAGCATTTCTTTGACTCATTTTGAAAGCTTTTGAAATTTAAGATGGTGCGATGATGTGGTTGTGTGTGTGTGTGTGTGTGTGTGTGTGTGTGTCCGCACGCGTGTGCATGTGTGCATGTGTATGAGTGCCTGTGTATGCACACATGTGCCTGTACTTGGGCTTGAACTCAGGGTCCTGTGCTTTTTTTTGCCCAAGGATAGTGTTTTACCACTGGAGCCAGCTTTTTGGTAGTTAATTGGAAATAAGAATCTCATGGACTTTTCTGCCTGGACTGGCTTTGAACCTCAATTTTCAGATCTCAGCCCTCTAAGGAAGCTAGGATTAGAGGAATGAGCCACCACACCCAGCTAAAGGTTTTATTCGTTTTAAATTTATACAGTGATAATATTTTATACTTAAGGGATTGTGTGCACAAAGTTTTTTGGTAATAACTCCTTTTATTAAGAACACCTCACCCACCTAGCACTCAGTCTTTTTACACCTTACCTC